CAGTAAATTGACAAATGTTTGCGAAGTACATATAAAATCGGCCTGTTTAAGCATATAATATAAGTATGCAAATTAGATTAAAAAGCGTATGTTTATGGTTTGTATAGGGGTACTGCCGGCTAACTCTGCATTTCAGTGTATGTTGAATGCTTGTGAAGAGAATCGAGACACACGGCAGTAAACTCCTAACTAAAGGATTAGCACGCATGAATCATAATCATGGTAAGAACAATAGCACAAATTTATTTAGAAATTTTACTTTTTTTCAGATGTTTATCACCGGAGTAATATCAGAATCGCTTCACTGATAATACGAACACACGTCTCACAGTGAAACTGTCTTTATTATTAGCCTCGGATTGGTAGACTGTCAATAGTAATCATACTTAATAAATGGGAATCAATTTGTTAATTGGTGGTGAAAATATCTGGTGTAGTTTCAGACTGACAGTTGGGTCTCTCATAGCTCAGCCGGTAAAATGCTGAAGTACACTTTTATGAAACTGACAAGAATTTATCCAAAGGAACAATAAATAAAATGTGTATATAAAGAATATTCATACTAGTTAAACTATCGAAGTGTTAAAATTTTTAGGGAAACTACTTATTCCGTGAAAAATCGAATATACTCTCAGAAGCAGGATGTTGATTCCAAAGGAATTAGGACCTTACAAGAAGGTCGAAAATGTAAAATTCTGTGAAATCGCAGTAACAAGAAATATAATCCAAACCCACCCCTACGACGGGCTTATAAGTGTCAAAAAAGCCAGAAACTTGCCATACCAAAAGTCCCAACATTTCACAAGTGGTTATGTCACATCCTAGATTTTATACCAATTTACATTTGTGTGTGTTGTGCAGTTACATGTACATAGGTAGGAGTATCCGCGCTCTGCATATGAAGGTGGGATAACACATACATAAATGGCTTGAAAAACGACTGAACTGTGAGGAAATGATAAATGCAGGCGACAGACTACCAACTTCGGCTGCAGAAAAGCACTTCATTGATATGAATCACAAGATTAATATTAAAACAGCTTTCAACGTCATCTACATAATGGTCAGGTGCACATTTTATTTTTATCTTTTTAATTACAGCTTGATTGCACACTGTATTTTTGGTACAAATATGGAATTTTTAGCATGGATATCGGTAGTCCAAATTTTGCAGGCCGATCAAAGACATCAGGTGTGCGTCGGCAGGGGATCAAACCTCGGACCATCCGCATAGTCAGCGAGAGTCCTGACCACTGTGCCACCGATGCACATAATGAAATATACTAGGGGTGATGGTTATACATGAAATTAAGCCCTTCCCTGTGTATACAAAAACAATTTATTATTAGTTACAGGATTTCATCATGAGCTGACATGAGTTAGGGAACCATTGGAAAACCTGCGAGCACTGGTCAGCTGTTTCGTCCTAGTTTGGGACTCTTCATCAGTACGAACCCAGGACCTTCCGGTTACAAGGCAAGCTCGTAGACCATTAAGCCACTGGGACCCGATCGGGTCCAATGCTTGAATTTTTTATTATTCTTAACCTATCTTGGCAATCCTTGCTTGATTGTATTACCAAGAGTAGTGTTAATTTTTACCCATCTTATTTTTATATCTCATCACTTTATTCATTTTAAAATGCCTATTTTGATATTATGTAAACTGACCGTATTGTCCCGAATGTATTACGAAAATAAATCAAGTTTATTCAGATAAACTCTGCCTTCTAATAATGTTGTCCAAATTTATTAAAGGGACTAATTGTTTTAAACCTTGTTAATAAATAGAAACACCGAGTGATTTGATGACCCCTGACAGAGGAATTCACGGTGTGCATTCCGTCCTATTCTGAACTGTCTGTTGGATGTACATTCATCTGCAGTAAATATTGGTATTTGCACTGGGACCTGAATCCAGCATCTAAAGCTTCAAGCGCCATACGTTATCCACTAAGGCACTAGGTAATGAGAGCCATCTCTTGTGCAGTGAGAATCAGTGGTTATTCAGTGAAATTATTTTTTGAACTTCCCATAGACTGATTGTATTGGATCAAAGCTCTCGGTATAGACTTGAAGTCAACCCGTCAGCATACAGTAAGTTAGTAGGAAATTCAAAATAAAAATATCAGTAAATTTAAGATGCTTACGAAAATTCATTATGTAAAATAAAGGTCAAGGTCGGATCAGAAAATTCCTACTCCGAAATCAGTGAGGAGATCTATAGCATTTAAAACAAGGAAGAAAATCTGAATTTTTAAGCTAATTTTAAGTCAATGCTGATTATATACGATCGCGAACACTCGGCGAGTCCTTGAGAGCCTGTGCTGTAGGCTGGAGACTTTCATCAACACCTCTCTACTTCCCTCTACAATGAAGATATGACGACCGGTCAGAAAAGATAATTAGCAAGGAACTCTGACAGGGTAGTGAACCGGCCAACAATTTATTATCTAAGACATGTGCCGAAGGAAATGGAAGTTGCATCACATTTGAGGCCCTGGAGTGGAACCCGAATGGGAAGTGATCAGTTGGGTGTCTGGGGATACCTTTTAAAATGTAAGTAAAAGCTTGTGCTCAGTCGGGAAACCTACCAAAAACGGACAGCAGTTAACAGAATGCAATGCATATGTGCTACTGAATACCTATGTTTTACTGGAAAACTGAGGGGCAAATACTAATATATAATGATCGTATTTGTAAAAATTACTTTTCTTTTGAGCATATAATTTAGAAAATCCTCCCTATTTACCTATTTCCGAAGTTCATCTAGCCTAACAAATAAATAAAAGCGGCACTGATTCCAATGAATCAATGGTCATTGAGTAATTTATAAAGAAATCACATCAAAGTATACTAAGTCTCTACGTGCGAATATTCACAGTGTAAACTTTTACCTTTTTATTTGTCCTTAGCCTATATAAATAATTCGTTCCAGGTAAACAATGCAATATGCAAGTATTGGTTTGTAGGGATTTGGTTGATTGGTTACAGGATTTCATCATGAGCTGACATTGGTTAGAGAACCATTGGAAAACCTGGAAGTACTGGACAACTGTTTCGTCCTAGTTTAGGACTCTTCATCAGTTCTAGACGAAACAGCTGTCTAGTACTCCCAGGTTTTTCAATGGTTCTCTAACCAATGTCAGCTCATGATGAAATTCTGTAATGCAATATGCATTAAATATAGGAAATATTCGCCCAATATAAACTTTTCTAGATGTTACTTTACTCCAAACTATTGGTGTAAAATGAATCTTAGAAATTTCGTGAAGGTGCCTTATGAAGTGACCTGATAAAAATGATGTATCAAATGTTTTGGTATGGCTACAATTCACAGTCAAATAAATTTTCACAGAATGAAAGGTACCCGCTTAACTTGTAACTTTATCCACCTCTATCAGTCCAATTTAGTTGAGAGTATTTGGTAGAAGCTGCAGACTGGACAGTATAAGGAGACTTTTACTGACTGTCTAAATAAAAACTTATTGAGATCTTTAGGAAACTTTCTTTGCACTCTAATAGGCTTAAGACTTTGGTTCATGTCCGACTGGACATTCTTCAGTCATGTATACTTCACCGTAGCAATATATTTATTAAAGAATTGTCTTATACTTGATGATAAGTCCCAAAAATAAGATGATCTCTGTGACATATTTCACTACAAACAAATTTTGATGGACATTTAAAGTTAATAAGGTTTCCAGTGTTGCGCTGAATGGTTTACTAGTTCCATATTGGGACAATGATTACAGCAGATTACCATGTCTTTGTGAAATAAACACTTTACTAAAGTGTGTATATATTTCAAAGGTACAAGACTAAAATAGTAAGTACGCAGTCCCTTCAATGAAGGTTTGTTATTACTATCCTCTTCCTCAGTCGTAAAGGCTCCAAGAAATGAAATACTATCATTCCTTTCTTTCTGAATAGTAAAATTTAATACAGGATGCAGATCATTAAATTTGTCAGGGATGTTCCTTGCTCTATTCTCATTTCTCAACATAAGCTATCATATCATACAGCAGCGATAGAATATCACCTTACAATTTACATCCCTTAAAGGTGCATTCCGCAATTATGAATGAAAATGTCAGGTAGGTTTTCTCATTATGGTGACTCCATTGTCACACTATCAGTTTGTCTGAGACATCCCGTCACTTAAGCATCAAAATTATACATTATACAAAATATTACATTATACTACTGAAATATTCGTAAGTAGTCAATATAATAATTCAAAAAATCAATCAGTGGTATTCTTTTTATGCAAATTTGTTTGCTTTCTTGCTTACCACTTCTTGTATAAAGCAGATCACGTATGGTGAATGGAATAACTTGGTTTCCAAGAAAAACTCCAGTGAAACCTCACCACTCGAACTGTGTAAACTGAAAAGTGCTAACCAATTTAAAAATTGCATGGAGGATTTCATCATGAGCTGACATCAGTTAGAGAACCACTGGAAAACCTGGGAGTGCTGGACAGCTGTTTCGTCCTAGTTTGGGACTCTTCAGCAGTACGCACCCACCGGGGTTTGAACCCAGGACCTTCTGGTTACAAGGCGAGCTCGTAGACCATTGGAAGATGTTAGAATTCAAGGACCATTGGATCGGGTCCCAGTGGCTCAAACTAGGACGAAACAGCTGTCCAGCACTCCCAGGTTTTCCAGTGGTTCTCTGACTGATGTCAGCTCATGATGAAATCCTCCATGCAATCAAACAAAATCCCTACAAAACCAATACTTGAAAATTTACAAATTGTCAATCTGACTGATTCCCAAGTGCCACGTGAATTATAACAAATCAATAAATGAAGCAAATTAAATTTTCTTTTCATGAATTAGCCTATAAAGCTATTACAGTATGACTGAGAGATTCTTCAAAAGCCTCTTTTCGTTTTATTTCCATGCTATGAAAAGTACTCAACTTCTGTATTTACCAAATAAAAATAATAAATCTCTCCACTAATCTATACTACTTTCTCTTTTCCATTTAATTAAAATGAAATGAAATGTCCAATATGTTCAATGTTTCAGTAAGATATGAAAGAAGTTATTACTAAGGAATTGAACAATTTAATACAGCTGATAAAAGAAGATAAATATGACCAAATTATTTATGCTCTACGGAAAATACCATTTTTAGTAAATGACATCAATAGTAACAACCAAGATTATTATTTTATTTCTATAAAACATCATTTAAATTATTTAGAATATCTACTAAACACTGCTCAAGTAGATAAAAGTGATACGGTTTTAAATGAATTAATACATTTTATTAAACTGTTAATTACTTTAGGCAATGATGACAATTGGATACAGGATATTCAACAAATAATTTTACAACATATTAACGCAAGTTTAGAACAATCTGATCCTAGTGAAACATTGAAAAGTCTAGTTCAAATTGGATCACCGCTAAGATTAATGATCAAGATAAGTTTAAATGATATATGGGATGTCGCAATGGAAGTTTATCGTTATTCAGCATTATACCATACGGAACTGTGTGCAGCTCGATTAGACAAAGGCTCATGCTTAACAATGGATGAGCTGATTGCAGCTGTCGAAGTTTTAGCCTATGTAGTGAAATTGAATCAGGCATTAGATGTAGAAAATCGTAAAGAAACTATAAAAATACTGAATACAGAAGATGCCTACTGGATAAATTTTATTCCTTCTGATATAAAACAAAATATTAATTCTGTATCAAATTTTTATTTTCAAAATCTATTAAAATTTCGTCAGTTCAAATATTCCCAAGGTTTATACCCTATTCTAACACATGCTGATATACAGAATATTTTAAATTCCACACATGATGAAATTCAAACACAATTTAGACAAATTCAAGCGTTTAATGGCAATAAACATTGTGAAACTTCACTATGTTATTCACATATCAATGTCAAAATGCATTGGATCAACCAATTGTTAAGTAATTTAATATCGTTTGAAAATCCACACGAAACCTACAGATTACTTAACTCTGCTCCACACCCAAAGATTAAAAATATGTTAAGAAAAAGTCATGAAGTCATATACCTATACCATTCTTTCTTATCAATACCAAAAGTTATCAGCGAGCTAGAGCAGGCTTCATTCCAGGTGAATTCCGCTGCTTATTGTTATTTGTTACAATATGCTATTGAACGTTCACATAACCTTATAAATCGGATAAAACGTTTAGGAAATGTACTGAAATCAATTAATCAGTATTTATGTGAAGGTGATAGTTTAAAGGTCACATATTTTCTGCAGCATAAAGCATTGGATTTATCGAAATATTATCAACTATATGTACAGTGTACTGGTAGACAAGATCAGTTAACTGATGAACGGATTAATTTTAAAAATAGTTTAAATTTACTGAATCAATTTGAAGATATTGTAATGGAAACATTTCAGAAGGTTAGCAAAATAAATTCGTTCTATTTTTAGTTATATTAGTTCATTGGTATACTTGTAAGGGTATTTTATTTATTTCTAATATGAATTTGGTAAAGATAAATAAGAACTGAATTCATATTACAACGGGCTCCAGTGAAGATACTGAAAGGTTCGGCTGATGATCACGTCTCAGGTTTACTTTAAGTGAATGATTATTTCATCAATAATAAAAGATATGTCAATGTTAATCAGATTTTGCATTTGTACAAAGTTATTCACTAGCCGAAGATCACTAGAGAAACGTTTCGTCGTGGTTTAGGACTTTTCAATAGTGCACACCAAGGATCTCACCTAGAACATTCAGGTCATCAGATAAACATGTGGCCATTCGTTCAATAGGTCGAAATCTGATAACCTGATGATTACCGGTATGCTACTAACGTCATCAATGGGCACTGACTCCCATAGGTGATATTTAATTTAAATTTAGATCATGGACTTATACCACTCAGAAAACCATCGGAAACCACCACGGTGTACTGGACATCTGTTTCGTTCTAGTTTTCGACTGTTCAGCGGTAGGCTGTAACAACACTACCGAGGATTAAAGCCGGGACCTTCAAGTTGTGAAGTGTGCAAACTAAATAAATAGCTGATGTTAATCCGCGAACTAACTTAAAACTAATTGAATCTCCACAAGCATGTGCTTGAAAATCCGTTAAATGCTCTCTAGCAACTGACTACACGATGAAATTTTAGTGCGAATCCTATTTAATGAGAACTACCATGATGAGTGTTAAGAGTAACACTCACCAATAACATTGGCTGGTGACGGCGCTATAAACCCCTATTTGACCAAAGGTGGGATTTATGGGCTGGGTATTCAACTGTGTCACAGTGACCGAATGGTTAGATGGATCACCTTGTAGCCCGAAAGTCCTGGGTTCGATTTCTGACAGCGTCGTCCGTAAGTGGTACTGAAGAATCCCAAAATAGGATGCAATGGGTTTCTAGTACACCCTGGTAGTTTTTAATGATCTCTAACTGGTATCAGTCCATGATCCAACACTAAACTAAACAAAACCCCACATGTAAACACTTGAAACTAACTATTTCAAAACTGTTCCAATCAAATGTGTAATCTTATTGCCTGCTGAATATACTAACACAGAAATTGAAATTGGAATAAATTTAAGGGAAGTCAAGTATGACACTCATTCATACGATCTGCTACTGTTGGCCTGCATCATTCGAAATATTGCAAACTGTGATTGCCGGAGCAACAGAAATGTTAGAAACCAGTAATTCATACGACACCTGTCATTCATATGGTTATAATCTGTAAACTCTAAACTCCCTTGTCTGGTTACTTCAAAGCGTTATTTTTTTTAATCTTAACTTGTTCCTTCTAGATTTCTACAAGCTTGTTAAAATCAAACGTAATAATTATATGGGAACTTTTATACATATATTTAAAAAGAACAGTGAGAACTCCCAAACAGATTAGCGTGTCAAGGTGATAAAGAACGATTTTATCTCTTAAGATTTCAAGAATTCGAGCTAGACAACCTATAACTTTCTGAAATACTCCACGCAACATTATGAATCGACAAGATGTTTTGTTTCGATAACCATCAGCATATTCTTACATTTCCCTTCAATAAACTTACCGACTTGCTATGCAAAATGTTTGTTTTAGTTTTCTTCGAACCGGACTGAATTTTCAACGTATTACGTTTTACAAAATAGTATCCATTCAAGTAGCCATTCTTAATAAAAAGCACAAATGCAGCTAGAGAGAAGGAACTCAGTAATGCAACAATAAACGGAAATGCGGCAGAATTTTGACAAACATGGTAAATCACCAGGAGTGAATACATCTGCACCAGTGAGAATGATTTCGAGTCATGTTACTCATAGCCCTCAGTCATGATTCTTGGTATCTCCAAAACCCCAACCACGTAGTATGCACCATTCTATGTGATCCAAGCTAACTATCAGCTAGGACTAATGCAGCCTCAAAAATAAATAAAATGATCAACAAGCTCAACCAACTCACTCTTTTATCCTTAAAATAGACATCAATGCAGACCAGTCATGCAGGATAGTTTTACTCTAAGAGAGGCGAGTTGCTTGTCAAAACATAATTAGATTTCAGTCCATAGTCTATAACCATTTAACATTGCCTTTTCTAGGAATACTCACTTTGCCAGTATTACTTTTTATCATCAAAGGCTTTTGTGTCATAGAAATCAAAACGGATCTTTACTTTACAAAACAATTAATAACCTTCTCAACTGTAAATAGTTATCTCAGTTCATCCTTTACTCAGTGCCTTAGTACTTCAGTTCGAAATAGTGAAACACTGATTGAAACTATGCCTACCTTATGAGCATCACTAGCTTCTAAACAGAGATGTTGTACATGGTTGCTGACTTGGGTCACTGTAACAGTATTAGCAAAGTCAGGATTTCACATCAAAGTGATTAAAGTTAGTCAGGCAGTGAGATGGAATTGAAACTATTCATTGTCTAGCTACGATATTTAAAATACTTAGACAACTGTTAGTGATTTGACTCAAATCCAATTACAACTTATCAACTTACAAATCTCTAAACACCTGTACTACAATTTGTTTAGTTTCCCATTTCCCCTGTGGAACTTCTTTTTCTTTTCAGTATTGGAGCAAAGCGGGTGCTTCGATTCGAAATGGCACACTTTTATACACTATTCTACATTGATCAGTATATTTTTCCACAGTAAGACAACTTTAACTGCTTCAATACTTTAGTGAAAAGTTCTATGCTGTTTTTCTAGCCAGTCTTGTAAGTCAAAAAACTAATGACATGAATAAAAATGTATCCATTGGTGGTTCATTTGTAGAACTGTCACCAGCAACGCAGGTGATCCAGGTTCACTTCCAGATTGAAGCATTCCTACACGTCGTTTAGTTTACTAGCCAACAGTAAGCCCGAAAATAAGAGGAGGTTTGACGTAAGTCTAGCAACCCCACGCAGTATGAACAACATCACAGCTACTGTATCTTCAAGGCTAGAAATCTGAAGTCCTTTGTTCCACTGGGAACGCAAAGGAATGAAAAACGTAGAAAGATGTAGTTCATACATGTTTCATAAGTGTTTATCGTTTTTATGATATTTTGTTTTCATAATTCACCTGATACTAGAAATGTCAATCTTAACTTTAACTGCCATTTAACAAAACAATAAATAGAATCAAATTGACAATTTACAAATTACTCACACCCAGTTCAAAGTGAAATTTCACAATGCGTGTGTGATCTGCTGGATTCCACCGTAAATAGCAATCAAGAAAGCAAGCATAAATGCATGATTCTATTTACTGCTGATTTTATTGATTGATATTAGTAGCTGGATACCACTCAAATCAACCAGTAATGCTTGCGAGTCAGACCAAGTTGATTTAAACACTGCAAGGCTGTTTCAGACATGATTTAGCCAAACTGTGGGACATATTTCAATCTATCTGGTCATATATATACATTTCATAAGAGTCTGTGTGACAGATACAAAAAACTGGCGTGAAAATAAATCGTAAAAAAAAATGGCTAATCCGAAGTTCAAAACCATCAATGGGAATGCCATCACTTACTGGATATCGAAAGTACGTCCGGCTGATAAGTCCCAAACAGCATGAAACGTTCTTTCTGAATTCCATCTCTAATCGTCATCAACTAATAACATGAACTTGATCTTCAAAAATCGTCGAAGCTTGTGTAACAGGAGCCGAAATGTCAAGAGAGGCTTAGCCATCCAGCCCGATGTAATCGATCAACGGGAAATATAAAATCATTAAAAAAATCATAAAGTGCTATAAATGTATTTTTAAATAAATCTTCGACAAGATTTATTAGTAGTATGTAAACGTTCATTGGCAAAATAATATAAAATAGCGAAGAGATAGATTTGACGTCAACGAAAGGAAACGAAGTATTATTGCGGCAAAACATGGGAGACACGAAAATAGGTAAAAGTAACACTATACTAAGGACAGAATTAGCACAACACGGAAGATCCATGTATACTGAGAATAGTTTGGCCGGTACAGGTAGTTGTAGCGTCGTTTGCTGATGATATAAAAGCTATTTAATGAGGTCGAATATCTTCTTAGATTCTTCTTTGAATTTAATTCTAACTTTAATCTGTGCAGTAATGTATCTCAGAATAATTACAATTCCTTCTCTCTCTCTCTCTCTGTATATATGCCAGGCTAACATTCTCGAATGTACCTATGAACATACGTAGAGAAAATGTGAAAAGCTAAAATTAGCCAGTAAATTTTTCCTTCCCCTAAAAAAATGTTTACTTTAAAATGCAGATAGCGGAGGAAATATACAACGACACCAATGATCGTAATAATCTTAATAACTGTATTTTTTAGCATGCGAGATTTCCAAACCACATTCTGCAAATTCAGACATGAAAATCAGATGTAGGATTGGTGAAATAATATGTTATTGGTTTTCTTCAGCATTGCCTTACAAAGTATAAGACCATTTGTGAATGACTCCTAGTGTTGAAAAAGAGACACAAAGTGACTTCATTTCAAGCGGAACGATCTACACTAAATTAGAAAGTATGGTGCGCGCACAAAGAAATTTCTGACTCGTACTAATTTCCACTAATGACAATGAGGAAGTCAATTGACTCTAAATGCAGTTGACTTTAAAGCCTAAATTGATCAGTTTGCAGGTATTTGTTTGATTTCAAACTAGACCACAAACCCAACTCATTTACAAGACCACTAAAACCTATGAATTACTGCAAAGTTGTTTCAACATATTTTGGGAATCTTCATCAATACGGACCTACGCTCTCACCTTCCAGGGGTCAAACGCAGGACATTCAGGATATGAGGTGAGCTCATCGACCATTCAGCCACTGGGACGGAATTCATTCGCCTATCTGTGAATGATAACTCATGTCAAATCTTGATTCATAGAATCATTGCTTTCCGTTGAAATTTGTGGGGCGCATTGGTCTTCATCAGTAAGATTTGCTAAGACAGCGGTTTGACCTCACTGTATGTTACTTTATGACTAAAAAGTGTAACACTGCTTTTGGCTATCTGAGATCTTATTTCGTTAACACGCAATCCAAACTCCTCAATGAGCCTTAAAACCGCTTCTACATGTTCCCAATGGTCACTTTCGATTTGACTGTATATGACGATATCATCACTGTACACCTCAAGTTCCTCAAGTTTTTAAGTAACAGCGTCATATATATATATATATAATTAGAGACGAAATACAACCGTCCGTAGACAGATTGCTGCATAGACTAGGTGTAAGTCAAGAGAGAAGTAAACTACCGAAAACAAAATAGTAGTGAAAAAATCAACTCCATAATAATCTCATGATGGACTTATTTGCCTTTAAGTGATTGTCTATACACATGAAAAAAAATTGGAAGAGATCATTAAGTTTGAACAAAGCAAGAACTACAGTTTTAGCAGAATAAAATGGTACCATCTTCTATTTCGTTGCCTTCTCGTCAGCTGCTCACATGGCAATTATTATTATTATTATTATTATTATTATTATTGTATCCTTTAGTTCCTAGAGGAACATAGGGCTTCAGCTGCGCACCTCCATTGACTTCGGTTTTCTGACAACTTTTTCAACCTGCTCCAGGTCTGTCCACATGCTTTCATCTCCTCCTCGCATGACCTCCTCCAAGTCACCCTTGCATTGACGACCAACTCGCCGCCTCCCTTTCGGGTTCCACTCGAGGGCTTGTCTAGTGATGTCACTTGATGGTTTCCTCAGCGTATGGCAAAGACATTATTAAATATATCTACAACAACAATTTTAACATACTTACACAGAGTTAAGTTTAAACAAAAATCAATCGATCAATATACTCATACACTAAAAATATATACATATATAAATATGCAATATTAACCACTATTCCGAACGATAATAATCAAACACAATGTTTAAACTTAACTCTGTGCAAGTATGTTAAAATTGTTGTTGTAGATATATTTAATAATGTCTTTGCCATGTAAGCAGCTGACGAGAAGGCAACGAAATAAAAGATGGTACCATTTTATTCTGCTAAAACTGTAGTTCTTGCTTTGTTCAAATTCATTAAGGGGAATAAATGTATGAAAGATCATTAAGTACAAATCCATAGTGCTATATATTACTGATTTATGTATATGAGTACTGTATACCACTCGAACCGATCAGTAGTGCTCACTAACCAGTTCAAAGTGATCTAAACACCGGACGGCCGTTTCACTCATTTGCAGACAATCTCATTAGCTATGTATCGAATTCTCGACCCAGTGCATATATCCGAATCAGCTCAGGCCAGTGGAATGCTCGTAAACTGAGAATATGCCTCACTGCACCATGTCAAACGCTCAGATGTGAACTCAGTCTAAATTACAGAAGGTTTATCAAATCAGTTGATACCGTACATGAGTAATTTTATAAATACTCTTATCATTCAGTAGAATATGTACGACACAATCGTGTCAATTTTCACACCATTTACGATATCCAGTGTATATCATCTCCAAACAACACCAGACGATCATGAAATTGCTTCTCATACCATGTACTTATTAAATATGCCCGTTGTGAATAAGTAACACAAGCTAGTGGATATCCCAATGAAATATCCGAAAATAAGGGAGACAATGTGTATAATTGATATATACCTACCAGTTGTCAACATCATAATCAATACCGTCATTACTATTATTATTGATTGATTGATGCTAAATGGAATATTAATTTCCACAAGAACTAATGGCCATTTGTTGTTGTTGTTTTGATAAATATCTCTTATCACATATTTTGTCTAATAATCAGGTCACACTGACGGTGGGTGGAGTGGGTCAAAATAAATAAAAAGTACTTCCATCTTTTGTTCTATAGCGATTTCGATTGATCCCCACGTATATTTCATCATGAACCAACATGAGTTAGGGAGTCATTGAAAATTGAGGATCACTGGACAGATGTTCCCCCTTAGTTTGGAAACTTTTAATAGTGTTTACCCGTAACTAAACCATGGTTCGAATTGAGGATGTTCAGGCTACGAGATAAGCCCATCGCCCACTCAACAACATGGCTCGCTCTTCACTGACTAGTCAAAATCTGTCAAGCTCTGTCAATTTACACAATATGGTGCTACTACTAACCAGTGACATCGATGAGTGTCCGCTTCACTCTGACATGGTGGACCCCATCAGCAATCACTTCTTATGAAAACTTCCGGACATCTATCAAACAGCAAAATAAGAGATGGACAGTCGAGAACTAAGACAGAATAGCTACCCACTGCTCCTTGATTTTCAATCATTAGCTAACTGATGTAGGTTCATCGCGAAATCTGCACTGAGGTAAAAGGTATACACACAATGGAGAGGTTCTCACTTTCTGTATAGCGCTCTGGTTACTGTCTTCTTTTCAGCTCCAATTATTTAATTATTGAACAAGAAGTTCAGATTGTAAATATTCATTTATGTATGCATATATGTACGTGTGTCTGTTGTACGTAGTTACGGTTATGAGAGGAGAATTTCAAAAACAGGAATAATAACCACACGAAAAAAAACAGACAAAAATAATAAATAGGGCTTAAAGCTAAGGCTATATATATGACGTCACAATTACAATAGCTTGAATCGACTTTCTGTTCAGGCATGCGAAACTAGTTTAATATAATATAATTAATATAACTGTACAACACTGTGTGATTTTTTCAAAATAAAATCTTATCCATAATGGAGTTATACTCTACCACAGTGCCCAAGTTTTATACTTATATCTAGTTCAACCTCCTTTTTCTCTCAATGTAATCTTGAATCACGTTTTTCTCCTAATGTTGAATCTAAACTTAGTTCCTCTCTCTCCTTTCTTTACTTACTTAAAATGTAACGAAATGACAGGAGAGAGATAGAGTTTGTTGAAAAATGAAGTGAAACAATCAATTTTGTTGTGGAATTGTTTTGAATTCCTGATATATATGCGTGCATATTTAGGTCTACTGTGAACATGTCCCCCTCACTCTCCTGTCCCTCTCTCCCCCTCTCATATAGTTTATGTATTTATGGATGAGAAACGAGTAAACCGAAATCATAACGTCATACTTCATTAACTACTAAGGTGTGAGTTCATTCTTTCTTCTTTGAAACTTAATTCCTCCTACACAGTATAGTTAGAATAGTAATACCACTGAATTACATGATTCATTGCAAACTGAATCCGTTCAAAGAACTATTGAAAGACACCAAGGAGCCCTAGACAGCTGTATTGTCCTTGATTGGGATTCTGCAGTTGTACGCACCCATGACCTCATGAAGAGGGATGGAACACAGGACATTGGGTTTACAAGGCGAGCCCGAAGACCATTCAGTCTTTAGGAGGGGATCCAGTGACTGACCTATGAATTCCAACTTCTGAGTTAAGTTTTTTGTTGAATGAGTTGTTCTCCACTTCACTGGTTAGATGTGATCTATTTAAAAGCTCAAAACGTTTTTCATTCTGTCGATTGGCCAAAATCAAGTGTCGTATGAGTTTACTGCTTTAACAAATATTCTGTGCAAATTTTATTTTGGCTTGTGGTTTGTCTCTTCAATTTCTCATATTACTCAGCTTTTTATTATTTAGAAGACATAAGGGTTGTGTGAAGAAACTTGACCGGACCAACTTCAAGGACTAGATACATTACATTGGCTCCTCATTAGTTAGTAATCAATGTTCACAGTTGGGACTGGGACACTTTAAGTTCCTTACACTTTTTTAATTATGCTCAAGTTAGCAAAATGACTGTGGGATTTCATCTTTTACATACAGTTGAGGTTGTCATACAGTCCCTTTTCTTACCATTAGTTTGTACTCTCTCTAAGTCATTTACAAGATATTATTGCTATAACTGCCTTATTATTCTGTCTGCTGCACTTTTAATTGTTCATAATGTGATCAGTCTGTATACGCGCTTAATCCTCTTGTTTTTTCAAGATTATGCATAATGTTTTCCACTTGTTGAATGTTTGCAAATGCTTCTACCGCAAAACTATTGCATTAACGTTTTTTTTGGTTAATTACAAATCCCGTTTGTAAAGTTGATTGTGGCTAATTGTTATCGACAAACCTATTGCTACCACTAGATTGGTAAAAACAATTTATATTGTATTGAAATTTCTATGCATACAAATAAGTAAAGTCATAGACGTTGATCTAATCCAAAAGTAAGTACCTCAGTTCTTTTGTCTTCTAAATGTCTTAAATAGGGAATTTCGTTGTATTTCTATTTTTGTAATCAAACTTTTGTGCGTCATCAGTTTATTGGTGGAATCATCACCAGCCACGTATGTGATCTTAGCTTGATTCCCAGTAGATGCACTTCTAGACTTGAAAAGAGAGAAGGTTGGACGCGAGGCCAACCACACCACATGGTAAAATACAACACTACTGCTACTGAAACCTTAAATCTTCAACCCCCATGTCCCACTCGGGACTCAATGGTGTAGTATTGTAAACCCCTGTGAAAAATTAGGACTGTAATTAAAATAGTTGTTAAATCTTTCGTAAAACGATAAATTATGTCATCCTGCTATTGTTTTACGCGAACTCATATTTATTTTCTTTCTTTCTCTTTAATTTAGTATGCAAAAGATAAAATGGAAAATTGTCAGTCAAAAAACACAGGGTTTCAAGTTTCCAGTAATCAAATGAATCCACTGAACTCTTCACTTTTCTCAAAATGGTTATGGTCCTATGTGACTGTTGTTGATGAAAATGATATCAATGAGATATATCATTCATCTGATTATTTTTTACGAAATCAATTCATTTCATTTTATTATAATATTGAAAGTGAACAGATTACTTATTGTCCTATCATTGAACGTTGGACAAATGAGGTGGTTAATTCAAATGTTCATCCTCCTCATTATTATTCTACTCATTTATGGAATAAAAATTTAAGGCATATCCTAATGTTAACAAGAATAAAAAATTCAGTTAAAACTGATTATATCAAGAAAATGATCACCGAACCACCGTCAACTGATCCTCAACTACTGAATAGAGAAGATATAATTGAATGTTTATTAATTGTGATAAATCATATTACGCATATGACAACTTTAAATAATCAAAATACATCGAACACGCCGGAAAGTATGACACTGACAATCGAACAGCAGATAAAAGCTGGTGATAATTTTGATCGTCACCATTACTATTTTAATAATTATTATACAAATTATCCTTTATATTTGATAAATATTCAAGCTCTATGTAAGGGTTATTTAACACGTCTAAAAGTTGAACAGTATAAATTACGTTTAAATGCTTGTAAACTGATACAGTCAAAATGGCGCCAAATTTATTATAAAAAATGTGCACCATTTAAAAAAACTCTTCATGATAACGATACAATTTCTTTTAAACAACTAAATAAAAAGGATGAAATAGATATTGATATCCTAAATAAAACAGTGATTAAATTGCAAGCATTATGGCGCAGTAAAAACTGTAGACGATATTATCGTGAATTATTTCAAATAGCTTATAATAATAACAGTAAATACTGTCGTAATCACAATCAGCAAGACAGTGAACACACCTCCTCTAAGTATCATCATAATGATGAAAATGGAAAATTAGAAGTAGGCAATTCAGCCTTGAACACTGAATCACCAAGATCATATTTAAATATTGTCCTAAGATTTATCAATAATTTAACAGGTAAGGCAATTGAAAAAGCTTATATTGAAGAAGGAAGATGCTTTCAATTGATATACGACATAATAAGGACAATGTATAAATTAAAACAAACATCAATAGAACTGATTAACTCTGATCATTTAATTGGTTTATTAATACAAGCTAGAATCAATAAAACAGACTGTGGTGTTAATAGTGCTGTTCCTATTAATAATAGAATAAAAGAATTTCAAAGACGTAATGGGGATGATGAAAGAAAAGAACACAGAACAACGCAAAGACAAATACACCAACCACAACAACACCGTCACTACCTAGACGAACAAGAGTGCATTACTTCAGACAGATCGAAATGTCAACTTCCTTTGATGAAGCCATTTCTGCAGCCATATGGACAATTGTGTTACCTCTTCTATAACCAACCAGATTATTTAGTAAACTTAGTTTATTCTCTGCCTAAAAAATTATTATGGACTAAACGGCATACACCGTCTGTAAATGGATCTAGTCCACACTATAGTTTACATAGCATTACCACATATGGTTTATGCATAGAACGGGCTATATTTTCTATATATAGTTATGCTTTATATAAAACTGATGAATTAAGGCTGATCCACTTGATATGTCGTTTATTCCATAAGGAATTGAAACGATATGATATGTTAAAAAGCCAACAGCGTTGTACAGTCTTAGAAAAGACTGAAGATAAACACGACCACGGCAAAGATGGAGATGACAGCAGCAACGTCGAAGACAGCGAGGAAGATAGTGACAGTGACAAAGAAAAAAACAGAAATTACCGTAGTAAAAGAATTCATCGACAGTATCATATCACTCTCTCGTCATTGTCAACATCATTTGCTTTTCGATTGACTATTTCGTTAGCTAAATTAAAAACTATTCAATGTTTCAATGATGAAACACTGAAAAATAGTCATGTGAATGACAGTGATGCAATAGAACCACAACGATTTATAGAACATTTAATCCAATTATTTCAATCATTTGTACATGAAATAAATCAATTTAAGTTAAATGAAAGATCAAAGTTATTACGTGAAAGACTAAAGCAATATATGTTATCGGTAAGTATATTGATTTAATCACCATTATTATATAACTCTTATTTATTGCATATGGTACAAGTGGGATATAAGGCTTTATCAACACATCTCCAGCGTATTCAGTTTTCTGTTATCATTTTCATCTGGATCCACAAAGGCCAGCTTCTTATCATTATCTCCACCAAATCATCTCTACACCACCATTGGACACCCAAACCATCAGTCTACATCGGGGCTCAACTTAAGTACATGAAAAAGGAGCATCGTGTGTGATGTCACTGTACTGCTTCCGCAGCATGAGTTCAATCCATCTCTATATCTTTTGGGATATTTGTTGGATAATAGATTGTTGAGTGGTTCTGAGCCTTCTAGAGTTCCTTCTGCTCTGCCGTCCAGTTTTCAGGATACAACGAAGGCAAGTGTTGATGAAAGTTTAGACGCTGTTAGAAGTAATTTTGATGACGCACACCCCAAGTCAATAGGACCTACTAATGGATTTACAGACTTGACATTACTGTTGAGGATTCGTATGTTGTTTGTTTCACTTAGTGCTACAGACCACTTCATAGACTTCAGATCAATGAACACCTGTCTTACTTTCCCGCTTCTGGCCCCACACCGAAGTTATTGATGAATATACTCTCTAGAAGGATACTGAGAGCACAGGAATTATATCAGCCAGTTCAGAGTATACAGTCACAGCAAAAGTGAGAAGGTATGAAATGATTGTCTTGTTGTCAGGACGGATATATTGGGTAATACCTCGAAGTCTTTCATTTGTGCAGTTTTTTGCCGTCTGATTAACAACAAGTTCTCCATATTGATGTAAATTCTGTTACAAATCGAATTTACTTTATAAACCTTTTTCGTATTGATCAACAATGAAACATTTTAGTAATCACATCGTGTAAAGATAGATTGCCTATGATATGAAATACGAAAATCTGTACATTAATAGGGCTATTTCGTCCTATGGTTAAATAACTGCATGATTGGTTCGGTGGAGAAACGGAAGAAGTTAGAACTTGGATTTCATCTCAGGACTAAAAGGTTAACAGGTACTCATAGTAAATTAGACGTCCTTGATCCAAACTCCAATGAAGTGGTGGATACATAATTCTGAAGAGTACTAAAGAAGAGCAAAAGAGAAATCTATTATTACTTGGCTTTCACTATTCCACTAAATGAAGTCAGTTTGTGATCAATTCCTGAATGCAAAAATACACCACAATCTCCAATTTTGTTGCCAGCTTCAACGTTTCCTTACAAGTAGTCAAAATTATTTGAATAAGGAATTAAGAAGACAAATTTCGCGAGATGATATCATTTTGTAGTTCTTTTACAACCGTTTTACAACTAACATGGTTAACAATAATAAAATAAAGATCATGAAAATTACTCAGTTAAATAAAAAACAAACAAAAGTACATAATAATGACCAATCATATTTATGTAGGTCATGTAGTCCATGGTAGGCGAAGATTGAAGTCTATTGTTTTTTGTACACACAGTTTAGGCTGTATGTGATTATTCCGAAGTTCTTCCATCACCTTCAATAACCTTGAATCAGAGTTACGTGAAATAATTAGAAAATAGTCATTAGTATTGATTTTGTGACCTGACATTAATAAGACTTTTGCAATGGATGATGCTGGATTTCTATTGTTTTTTATTTACTCAAACGTTTTTGAGATAATTTCCCGTCATGAAAGTGAATTGTTTGCAACTTTCATATTGTTTTTTCTATGTTTCGTATTTACTCATTAGTCACTTAAACAATTTCCAAGGAAATCCGAAATATCTAAGAAGCTTTACGCTTCTGGAAACAAGTTTTACTCAAAGTATTCAATCAGAAGTTCAAATAACGAACGATTCGCCTCCTCACCTTCACCACTTCCATCTGTAATCAACTCAGCGACATCACTTCAATCACTTTCAACTCCGTCATCATCTTCATCGGACACTTTATCATCTCTGTCATCTTCTTCATCGCAAAATCTGCAAAGGATGAAATCTAGTGAATCAGAACGACTAATGAATCAAAATCACTTTAGTAGAAGGTCACTTAAATCTTCAGATGATGACTTACAATCAGATGACAGTAATACAAAAATCCAATATCATCATTTAGCTAATGCAGCTTATAAATTCTTTCATGGTGTATTCATTGATCCTGGCCAAGCTGCTTTACCTCAATGCCTGAAATATATTATGCATCAATTGTATACTGGATTGGTGGTGACATTTCCTGAAGTTAAGCAATCAGAACATTTAAAGGTGAATGTTGAGTACATTTTTATAACTAATTGAAAAAGTTAGGAAAATGTAATGTAGACTTAAAATAAAACTGTGGGTTTTAAGGGATTCGATTGGTTTTATTTCAGATCATGGACTGATATCAGTTACAGAAACAATGAAGACCACCAGGGAGTACTGAGAAGCTGTCACGCCCTAGTCTTCAGCAGTATACACCTAAGGCGGTCAGGTTCTCTGACTATTCTAACTTCTGAAATGATAGAGAAGATTAGTAGCTCAGAGAACACTACTAATTGCAGATTCTAACTTCTACTAATTCACAATATATATATCCAATGTCACTGGCGAGTATTTGTCCTCACATCCAACCTGGTGGACCCCTATGGTTGCGAATTCTTACTAGGCCTCCAGGAAATTTCCTCCTGTAGTCAGATACCGGCAAACTTTGTACTAGTTGAATACATGATCACAAGGTGCTCATTTTATTAGTGTATATTGAAGCGATGTTCTTCTTTCTGGATCTCTGTTAAATCCGGATATCACTGATTAGTCATGCACAGAATGTAACACTAAGGTGAAATCCATGATCTCCTTCCCTCCATTTGTCTATCTGAACAGTCGAAATTGGAATTAGTTTACAGCTGATCTATTCAGGCCAGTCTTGTTATGAGGTGACATCAGCTAGGGAACCATTAATGGCAGACTACGAGATGTAGTTTTAATGAGAAGTTATGATAAATGGGCCTCAACATGTTGAATATGAGGACACTTGCCCTCCGATGATATTGGGTATTAGTGGCTGGAAAACGAACCAATGGACAGAAGTTCAAATTCAGGTATTACTGAATTCTAATCGACTGGCTAAGTGGTAGATAGGCCCGCCTTGTAAGCCAAAAGTCTTAAGTTCGATTCCATACAGGTTGGTAGGGTGGAGTGTTGAAGAATCTTAGACTGGTACTGGGCAACTATTTACTGATCCCTGATTTTCAACTGTTTCCCTAAGTAATGTCATTTCGAAACGAAATCTACCCTGGAACCGTCTCAGATTGGACAGATAGTGTTCCTGTATTAGTAACTCATTTAACATAACGACTGTATGATATTTTATGTGCTCTGATGGTAACACCAACTACTGACACCAATAGCAAGGATGCATTAATGCAGAATGATAGTATTTCAGTAGACACATAATAGTCACACTATATAATATATTGTCTATATTTTCGTCTTTGTTATACATAAAAACACTGAGTATTCACTTTTCGTATGGCTTGTATTGTCTCAGTGATGGACAAAATACAAGCCAAATATCTCACTAGTCAAACATGAATTGTGAAATTGTTTTTCTCAAAAACAAGAATAGTAGTTCAAGTATTGGTTTGTAGGGATCTGATTGATTGGTTACAGGATTTCATCATGAGCTGAAATTAGTTAGAGAACCCTTGGAAGACCTGGAAGTACTGGACAGCTGTTCCGTCCTAGTTTGGGGACTCTTCACAGTAAGCACCCACCGGGGTTCGAATCCAGGACCTTCTGGTTAAAAAATGAGACAGTGGGTCCCGATCAAATGGCCCATGAATTCTAACTTAGTAGAATAACTTAGAATAGTGGTTAATTAAGAATAATATCAGCTAATCAAAGGGCTTAATATAAGTACTTGGAAGCATTTCACACCAACCAGTGATGCTTGTTAAGCGGATCTAGGTTATCTGAATGCTGAAAAATAATATCACTATTTTTGTGATGTAACTAGAGTAACTCAACTCAGAAAACTTAATCAGCAATGACTTTGCAGCTAATGACTGCACTTAAGGGTGAATTTCGGTCCTCTAATGCAACCCTAAATCTAACATCTCCCCAATTAAGTTAGCCTGATCCGAAACTGTCCCTAGCCCAAGAAACCAACCAGATATTCTGTTTAATATGATAACACTTTATTCTACACTTTTCTTCATGAATGTTAGTGTTATCTACCTGATTTCGCTGCCCTGGTCACAATGAGCGTTCCAAGAGCATTGGTGCATTCGCGCCCTCTGGGTGTCTAGAGTTTCACCATGCCTGATATGAATATACTGATTTTCTAAAGGGAATTTTTCTGAAATTTCATCTTAAACTGTGTGTAACAAAAGATATTCAAGTTGTGTTGAAAAAAATCAATAAAACACCTTTAACACAGACAAATGTAACACGTAAAATGGTTACAGTACTTTTTGAAATGCACAATACAAAATCATATAGAACCCTGCATAACACCAACTACCCAAGGAGATTCAGTTTGTAACTAATCTTCTCTTTTTTATCATATCAAGAGGGCGGAAATGTAAGGGAGGCGATTACTTATATTCTCACTCACGCAATTACCTGTTTTAAAGGTGTTTCGTTGATTATTTATATAACTGGAATAACTGTGGTGCTGTTTATACATAATACTGTGAACGCAACACCTCACTCGCAAACATCTCATGTAGATAATAAAAAGTCAGATGAACTACTCTCCAGTGTTAGACTCCAAATCGGTGGTGAATTCAAACCTATAGCAAAATGCCTCTATGGCTTTCTGAGGCATACGAGTTTTAACAATACATAATAAGTTCAAATGAAAATCAATTTTCAGCATCAAAGTTACTTAAGCTTCATAATTAATTAGATTGGACAATTTAGTTTTAAGTGAACCATTCAATTTCTATTGACACAATTACATGATAGTTTCCAGGATGAGGATAAAAATCATAGTCATTTTTTTCTCTGCAAATACGTCAGTCAGGTAAGGATAGCAGTCATTATTCATGTTCAGTTGAGGAACTTCAGTACACCTAGTCATAGTGAATTTAATTCTAAATTTTGCAAATTAATTCGTGATAAACAATTTGCACAATTCATCTAGAACTTGAACAGATGTATTACCAGTTCGCCCAAACCCGAATTCAGAGTTATATAAACTGACTGGGTTCCTTGAGCTGATTGCACTGAGCACACTGTCGGTAATCTCGGAGCCAAACGAGTGGAACAGTCATTTGGTGTTCAGATCACTTCTATCTGTTTAGAAAAATGCACTGAATAGTGTCAGTGGTATCCAACTACTACTCGCGTGAATCAACCAATAGTATATAAAATCATGCGATTTTAATCGGTCATACTGTGTAGACTGACTGACTTTCAACATTGAACCATGCACAGAAGTGCAGCAGTTCAATTTGCCACACTCTATATAGCACACAGAGAAAGATAAAAGGGTGAGAAAAGAGGTTCAAAAGAACTGCTATGAGCCAAATTGTATGGGGGAATGAATATTAACATGCAAGAACATGAGGCTTTAGTGTATGTGAAAGATCACAGTGAATGAATTAATCTGAGCCATTGAGAACTATATTAAACCATGTCACCAATAATTCCAAACCGCTGATTCTTAGCTTCTTGAGGACTTCTACAAGGAAGTCGATACCTCCCTAATTGGCTGACTCAAACCAAATGTAAAAGAAATAGTGGATTGGTTTTAGGTTTTAGTCTGACCACCCTTAACCCTTTTGCATCCCTATTCTACATCAGCTAACACTACTGATGGAGGAAGGCAATGGTTTAACATGCGCGACACGTATCTTGTCTATCTAAATCGACTTAGCTTTACTATCTCATTGACTGACTTCCCTTCTTACCTATCACTCTAAGCCTAACCTCAATATCATTCACCATATTATACCGCCAAACACGGAAGATTGAATGTAAACGTCTGTTGTCAAAGACAGCTAACCTTTTCGTATCTTTTACTTTCAGTGGCCATGTGTCACAACCAAAGGATAGAGCAAAATGTTGCTCACTACTCACGTCCTTTGATCGACAGTTTGATACGATATCTCCCTCAAAGATGGCGTAAGTTGATAAATGCCATAAAAGCCATATAAGCAGTATCGCAAGTACTGTTTTGGAATAAAGCAAATTATTATAATTATTCTACCTCTACCAAGATTTAGCCAACAATCAGTCCACTAAAACTGGTACAACTACCCAATACATGAAGTGTTAAACAAGCACAGTCACTTCACTCCCCATCTTTAAGCTGGAAGTTGGTGTAGTCCAGTCCTATAACATCACCTTACATTCAACAGAAACGAATCTCATGCCAGACATTCAGAAATTCCTCTTCATGATGTTCAGAAGACTGTGAATCTTAACGGCGTCTTCGTCTAATGAAGACAATATCATCCATATTCTTTCAGTCAACAAGACTGCTTGTTTTCAGGTGACAAGTTAATCCCTAAGTCGCTAAACAAGCTTAATTCAGATCCATTACTACATCTATAATGACATTAAGCAAAAATCAGGACAATGGGAATCCACAGTAACGATTCGTAATGTTAATTAAAATTATTGTCGTAATATCACTGAAAAATGACGCACTTTCCACCATTACACGCAAAAAAGAAAAATGACTGAAACTTCTTATTTATTTTTCTTTTAACAATTTCAGTTCATTGGTCAAATGTTATTGCATGCATACTACAGTTGTGTAATAATCACTCCAGATCTTCATCAATTACTCAATGAATCTAAACCCTTGAAACAGTCAACATCATCACCATCATTTATCTTATCCTTTTGTCAAAATGATAGACAGTCTAGATCTGCTGATCGTCTACATACAGGTAGAAAGCACTCATCATCTCAAAATTTGACCACAGCAACAAGAGGTCATCGCATCAGCTTCATTAGTCGATCAAATCGTCGAGTGTTAATTGCCATATCAAATCTTTTCCATTCAGTTATAACATGTAAACAATACGAGAATACTAAATACTTTGGATTGTTGGCTAAAAATGTTCAACTGAAGTCAATGCTAAACTCGTGTGTCCGTATATGGCATAGTCGTTTCCATCAGTTCATGTTAGATATGGTTGTACAGACGAAAAGCGACTCCAAGACACTTGCTTCAGTAAATTCCACATTATGTGGCAAACGCATCGAATCGTCACTACATAGTGTCGAAGAGTTGTGCGTTAAAAATACAAACGATTCATTTTTGTATTATCATAAAACATTTATTACAACATGGATATCTGGATTACAACAAAATATATTGTCAACAAGAAATGGGAATGATTCAGTTGATGATTCTGACGGGCCAGATGAGATGAATTCAACAGAAATATTCAAAGATACGCATAGAAATGTTCAAAACACACATATTATCAATATAACAGCAAGAGTAAGAAGCAGACTCTTTTTTCCTGTCTTTTTTCGTTTATCCCTGTTGTTGTTATGCATTGACTGATCTTTTCTGCTTCTTTTTACCACTGCATGATCGCGAATTCACAGAAGTTAGAATTAATGGTTCATTCGATTTCAGAATAATGGCTCGGTATTATACTAGGTCACCTTGTAACCTGGAGGCCTTGGGTTCAATCCCTAGCAATGGGATCATGAGCGCAAACAGACGAAGTCAGTTTGGGAAAAGTTTTTATATCCATTGAACCCCTGCAAGCTAACCCTTAAAATTAATGTCGGTAGGCAAAAGGTGGCCATACGGGTAGTCGGCAAGTCAGTAACATGTCACATTGGAAATACAGATATACACATAGAAAGATTCAAGCCAAATTGGTTGTATTTAAACCTGTGACCATTAGAAAGACATATGAAATAACTATTTGTAGATAGATTTGACGAAAAATCGAACACTGTCAAAATACTAAGCAAATACTCACACACACACACACACACACACACAAACGACTTCACCAACCTCAGAACGCAGGAGCTTCAAGTCAGAAGGTGAGTCCAGTAACCACTGAGTTCAAAGTAAACCAACCTTAAATTCCGACCTCCATCAACCCAAGGCAGAACGCCACCTCTAACCGATGTCATCTGAAGTAAGGAAACTCAAGTATTAGCTTTATCGCTACTTACGTAGACACAAGGTATATAAAAAATTCCCATTGAGTCATATAAAATAAAAGGAGTTCAGAGATTAACATTTTCTACATTGCTTTATTTGTTACCTAAAATTTACATTTCTAATGACAGATCTTTGGATGTATTCATTTTGTTGGTGAGAAAATTTATTATATACATATGCAATTGTACACCTTGGGAATGATATCGCCGAAAACAAAGTATATTCTTGTCGGTTAACTTCTACACATCAGGCCTTGATAATGCTAGGTGGCTAACGATGTAAGACATGTCTCTAAGCCAATCAGACACAGAATTATTAGGAGGATATAAATTGAGCACATTTACACTCATATATGTGAATAGTCTAATCGTATATCTCACACCATAAGCTTATAAAGTGACTTATTTCACTATAATTAACTATTTTCATTGATTAAGGGAGAAATCTCTTAACTTGAAGACTGTCCTTCTTGATATCCAACATATGTAGATATATGGTGGTCACTTCTGTTGTCTAAAATGTCGTGGATTTGACTACATAAACATATTTACCTTCTCCACTGATGTCATGAGATCTAACAGATAACCAGAGTTATTTCTAACCACATCACTTTCCTAATACCTAACACTTCAAAACTAACCAGACTTACTTGAACCTTAAAACTCCAAACGAAATTTGCGAATTGTTTCAAAACATATATCTGAAAATACGAAAAGTTATTGAAAGTATCTCTGATTTCAAGTTAATTACAACATAAGATGAAAAGACTGATGAAAATAAAATAGCTTCGGACAGTTATTCTGCAGCTTTTTAATACTCTTCAGAAGAGTTCAACCATATAATGATAAGAAATCAAACTAACAATCACCAGTTTATGAGTTCATTTGGTCATAATCTCATTGTTCATGATTTTCAATCACTAATAATTCCTAGTTCATGCTGTTAGATTACCATACACAAAATTGGCAGCCTTCTTATCTTACACAGCAGAATAGGTCAGTGGCAACACCTCTAAATACGACATTGGGTGACTCAGGTCCGAATGTCAAAGGTGACATCAGTTACATATATGCTTTGCTTATGAGTGCCAAAAAACACGAAACCTAGGTTAGGCACAACTTCCTGCCGATAGACTACAGCTATGGAATATAATTTCAGAATGAACTTAAGTGGCGAGCCACGAAGGTTGTTGACTGAAATACAAACTTAACTGACAGAATTCATCCATCACCGACATTAATTGCTTCGATGGTTCAATGGTAGAATGTGTGTCAACCATAGATGTAGTCCATATCGACGCATTTCTAGCTTGAAGCCCTTTGTTCCATTATGAATTCAATGGAATAAAGAAGAATGTAAAATCATCATGTTAACTGAATTTTCGTCAGACATAATTCATTAAATTTTCTCCATTTCTTATTGTATTAAACATCTCTTGGTAGTGAAATGCACTCACACATATACACACATTTTAATTGGCTTTCAACCAGCTTCTATGTGCTCCACGAAAGAGACTAAGAAAATATATCATGAAGGATTGACTTATGTTGCTTCATTTCGAACAGTCTCGAGTTATGCGATATGCTGTTGATTACTAATTTTAATTAAAGATCCTGGAAGAACAGTGAATATATTACTCAATAAAACATGCCAAGCTGTTATTATTTATTACATATTTTCTCATTGTGTTTTGAAGTTTCTATAATTATTATTATTATTATTATTGCTCCCTTGGGTTCCTAGTGGAAAATAGGGCTTCAACTGCACGTCTCCATTTTCTTCTGTCTTCTGCTATACTTTTCGCCTGCATCCATGTTAATCCATATTCTTTCAACTCCTCTTCACACGATCTCCTCCATGTCACCCTTGGACGTCCCACACGCCGCTTCCCTTTCGGGTTCCACTCGAGGGCTTGGCATGCGATGTCACCCAGCGGTCTCCTCAGCGAGTGTCCAATCCATCTCCACATTCTCCTGCATATTTGTTGGGCGATTGGTTCTTGCTTTGTTTGTTCCCATAATTCCTTGTTGGTGATTCTTTCCGGCCGGCCATCTGATCTTCAGTATAGAGCAGCGAAGAAAGTTGTTGATAAAGGTCTGCAACAGGCTGTTGGAAATATTCTTTGTGACCCGCCCCCAAGTTTCTGATCCGTATAGAAGAACTGACTGACTTGACGTTTGTATTGAAAATCCGACCGAATTTTGTTGTTGATGCTGAGTGACGAAGATTTCCAGATTGGTTTCAGTCGTTGATGAATGTGTTTCTCGCCTTCCTGATTCTCGCTCGATTTGACATCCTCGTCCGTTCCGACTCCTGTAGTTGAGACAATGCTCCCTAGATAAGTGAATGAAGTGACCTCTTTCAAATCCCTCCCGTTGATGGTGATTGACGCTGGATGTTGCTGCTGTTGTTGTTGGTTGGTTATTTTCATAACCTCCGTCTTGTCTATGTTCACCTGGAGTCCTGTCTTCGCCGGCTGCTTCTTCGACCAGTTTGTCGGTTTTCGCTTGTAAGTCTTCGATTTTGTGTGACATCAAACACAGATCATCCGCGAAATCCAGGTCTTCTAGGTTCTTCACGTCGGTCCAGGATATCCCTGTCTTCTCGTTTCCCACAGTCTGACGCATAATCCAGTCCACCACAATTAGGAATATCATTGGTGATAGTAAGCACCCTTGTCTGACTCCTGTGTTTACTCCAAACGCCTCGCTGAGTCTTCCGTTGTGGATCACTTGGCAGGTGCCGTTGTCGTACAGCTGTTGAATAAGGTTGATGAATATTTGGGGTACACCGTAGTACTCGAGTAATTTCCAAATTACTTCGCGGTCAACGCTGTCGAAGGCCTTCTCAAAGTCTATAAAGTTGAGGTAGAGGTTTGATTCCCATTCCATGCTTTGTTCTGTGATGATGATGCGTAGAGTTGCAATTTGGTCAGTACATGATTTGCCTTTCCTGAATCCAGCTTGTTCTGGTCGGAGTTCTGTATCCAGTGCGTCCTTTATTCTCTCCAGGATGATGCGACTCAGGATTTTACTTGGCGTCGATAGGAGCATGATTCCTCGCCAGTTCTTGCAGAGTTCTAAGTCGCCCTTCTTTGGTAGTTTCACGAGGTAACCTTTCCTCCAGTCAGTAGGCACCTTTCCCTCCTTCCAGACCTTTTGCAATAATGGAGTCAGCATGTCTGCTGTCGTCTCTGGGTCTGCTTTCAGTGCTTCAGGGGGTATTCCATCTGGTCCGGCTGTTTTCCAGCTTTCAGAAGTTTGATTGCATTCAAGACTTCAGCTTTCGTTGGAGGATTGGTGTCAACTTGCAGTTGTGTGTGCGTTGTTGTTGGTATTTCTGGACGGGTTGCAGGTGGTGGTCTGTTTAAGAGTCCTTTGAAGTGATCCGCCCATTGTTTAATCTGTTTTTCTTCCTTGGTATTGGGCTTCCCTTGGCTGTCTTTTATAGGTTTCGCTTGTGTTGATCTCTTCCCGGATAGAGATTTGGTTATCTGATATAGTTTCCTCAGGTCTCTTTTGCCTGCTGCCTTCTCAGCTTCAGTGGCGAGGTTGTCGTAGAATCGTCTTTTGTCCTTCCTAGCACTCTTCTTCACTTCTTTGTCCAGTGCTTTGTAAGTTGAGCTCATCGTCTCTTTCTCCTGTCCGTCCTTGCATTGAATCATTTTCTCTTTCACCATTCTCCTCTCTTCTATTAGTTTCCAAGTGTCCGTTGAGAGCCATTCCTTGTCTTGTCTCTTCTTTCTTCCTAGAACCGTTGAACACGTTTCGTTGAGAATCGCCTTCAGAGACTTCCAATGTTCTTCCACGCATGATTCTTCAGTGCTGTCGCGTAGTGTTTCCTGCTTTGCTCTGACAGTTGCAGTGAAGGTGTCCTTTGTGGTTGTGTCCTTCAGTAATTGAGTGTTGAACTTGCATTGTGGCCTATCCCCAGCTATCCTCGAGGCTTTTAGTTTCACCTTGAAAGTCCCTTCTACTAGATAGTGGTCTGAACCCACATCTGCTCCTCTTCTCGACCTTGTGTCCAGTAGGCTCCGTCTCCACTTTCTTGAAATTGAGATGAAGTCTATTTGATTCTTGGTGTTTCCATCTGGTGAAATCCATGTCGTCTTGTGTATATCCTTGTGTTTGAACACACTACCACCAATCACCAAATCATTGAAGGCGCAGAAGTCTGAGAAGAGTTCACCATTGTCGTTCATTTCATCGAGGGCCTCACGACCCATGGTGAGTTCTCTTCCTGTGTTGTCTCGTCCCAGCTTCGCATTCATGTCGCCCATCAGGATTTTGATATCGCCATTTGGGACGTTGTCC